CAAAAAAAAAGAAGTTTTAAAAAGACATTTTTTTCAGGTAATTTTTCAATTCCAGGATTTAACGTTATTTATTTTCGATTTTCAGAATCGACTGACCTTCTTGGCGCGATTTTACAATGCGCTGGATCGACGTTGCCTTTTGTGAACTATAGTTGGAAAAAATATAACTAGAGATATAATAAATGTTAATTGATTGTAAAAAATTGTACGAATGAAATAAAATATGATTAGTAAAGAAAATTAGAAAAACTATAATATAAAATATATTTTTTAGTTCAATTGTGGATTTCTGAAATTTAATATTTTGAGATTTTAAATTTTAAATTATATATATATACATATATACGTGTTCGAAATGAACGTCGATCAATCGTTTAATATATCTAATTTAATTACGTAAAATTTAACAATATTTGATAATGTAATAAATATATAATCTGTTTTATATTAAATTTTATGATCTTTCTATATGTATAATTAACCACGTTTAATTCTCATGTTGCGTATCATCACATCAACAGGATGGTACGCAAAGCTTATCAGTAATTCTGGAAAAAGCTCTCTTGCAAAATAGATGTAACGACGCTTTGCCGCTTTCATGCTAATTAATTTCACGCGTCTCGCACTAATTAATTTCAGATCTCGATGTTTACTAATTCTAAAGCGCTACTTCATCGCAGTAATATTCATCTTCACGGTGTCACGCGTAATTCAAGGTAATGTAACGCATTGCTTAATCCCCGTTGCCATGTCCCGTGACAGAACTTGACAGATCGTGTTCATATGTTTAAAGCTCGCTAATATAATTATGCGTTGAAACCTTTCGTATATAAAATCCGTATCGCGTTAATCATTTGACATGACGCTGCTCATCGCTGGAACGCATCGAACGCTACGCTTTGCTATTGCAAACTTTTTGGTGACGTTTTTATTAATATGAGCAATATTAATACGAACATTAGTCATCTATTTAATAAAATATAAATGATACAATAGGAAGTTCTTTTACAAAATTTTTTTATCTATATACTATACACAGATTTATCTCTGAACTCGGATGAATTCATGATTTTTTTTATACTATTCCTTCCTTCTAAAAAAAAAAATTTTTTCTGATAATCATTTTTAAGTGGAAGCTTGAAGAGAAGTTTATTATTTCAGCTTTTTATTTTCAATAAACATTTTCACAGACTATTTTTTGCATTTGGCAATTATTTTCTCTGTGTTCTCCCAAAAAGCCTACACGTGGCATTTTAATCGTCACCGAAAGGGTAAACCGCTTGGCTCTCTTAGCTTTGCAGCTCGCCACTACTTTTGGACGAGCGCGGTTAGTAAAAATGAGTCGTTCGTGCCTCCAGTTGAGGAGCATTCCTCACACACTGCCATACGTGGCACACAAGAGGCTCGTCACCATAGTTCACTCGCCGATTCATCATGTATACACGCCGATCCATGTATACTCGCCGGTCCGTTACGTATACTACGCTGGCTCGATGGTACCGATAAGGGTGCGAGCGCGCGTGCGGCCCAGCGTCCTCTCAGCTGAGCTCAACAGGATACGCGATCTGCCGAGGCTGACCACCCGATCCTACCTTGAGGAGTTTCTAAATTCCCGAGATCACATAGTAAGTCCGGCAACTAATCTGATATCACGTATTCTCTCTCTCTCTCTC